GCCTCCATGCACTCTCGAGACGTGAAGAGGTTGGCCACTGGCTACTCCCATATAACCCACTTCCCACTCACCTCCACACACAATTATGCCCCAATGCATTCCTCCAACCCACTTGCACTCCATACCAAGTCTGCACACTTCACCCCTTTCCTGACAATGGACTTACAGTGGAACAACCGTGCACAATGCACGTGAGATCAAAGCGTCACACTACATTCCAACAACAATTGGTCGTTGTCTCATTCTGCCTTTCCATCGTCCTCCGAACTGCTCCCTCCCCCTCCTGTCTCGTGCGGTGTCACCTCTACCCCACCACTTCCACTTGACAGTGTTGAACCCCTCAAGCTCTTCAGCCCAACATGTAACCTATGCATGCACATACTGCTGACGACAATGTTGACAAGTTGGTCAATGTCGATCAAGTCAACCATTTGTGCACCGCCTTTGCCAGTCTTGTGAAGCGGCAGTGTGATGCAGTCACAGAAATAGGGAGCAAGATCATGTCTATCATTCCAAGTAGACGGGACAAGATGGAAGGATATAACAGGCACCGGAGAGTGTTGTTGAGACAGCTTCCCTCACTCTTTACTGCCAAGTAGGAGGGCGCAGTTTACTGACCTGACCGATGATGTGATGCAACTGCACACAGCGACAAGCACTCCAGTCGCCACATTACACTGGCCGACAGTCAGCACACACTCAAAGCTATCCTAGCACACTCCTTCACACACTGCATTCAAACTCCTTCCCAGCACTGGTATCGAGGGTGTGCATGCAACACCACGTGCTGGTGGATAATGCGCATTGGGGTGACGAGTGATTGAAGGTAGCACGAATTACACATGCCCAGCTGCATTGACGGAGGACTTGGGGAACCAAGCTGAAGAGGACGAACCACCACATTGTTTGAGGCGCTAAGAACGTCAAAGCCACATCAGTATGGCGATGGAGTGGTGATGCATACGTGTCCACACCGCAATATTACCTATAATGATGTCAACACACTGCACCACAACACCCACCCCTACCAACTCCAACGATGCAACTGACAGGATGACGAGTTGAATCACCACTTAATTGGTGTCAGTTTTGGGAGAACATGCGTGATAGGTGGACAAGTTGTCGTGAATGGGGAGAGGGAGCCTTCTCAGATGCTAGACGACACTGCTGGTAGTGTGCAAAGACAAAGCGTGAAGTGGTCACACCGTCGGTGGGGCAACAGTGAGCAGAGCGCCGAAACGATGCAACCTCTCACACTGCCCAACTACTATACACGTGCTCGTGCGTGCCAATGCACTTCGGAGACATTCGCTTCCCCTTCAGTCGACTGCACGTTATACTTGCGAGTCAGCACATTAACCAATGTTGCGAACCAACGTCGAGTGTACACATTGACGTCGAAGACAAAAGGCGATTCTCCACCACCTCTGCTCAGCGGAAACTCGATGAGAGCCACCAAGTTACCGTGAGAGGTGGAGGAATGGATATGCTGCGATAGGCCACGAACAACTGTTCGGCCTTGCTTGTAGAGGTAGTGGAACGAACGCGTTCGTGTTCGCATTAGCGACATTTCCATCAAGCGGTCAAAATACGCACAAAAGCAACTCTGCTTGCCTCCCACCTTCCCCACTTCCCATGTTCAG